CCTCTTTGCAAATATAGGACTAAGGTCTTGTAGACCTGGCAATCCTGACCCGACCCGAATGACCCGACCCATGACCCGAAATTGACCAAACCCGACCCGTAAATGGAGTTGACCCGATCCTGACTTGACACCCGAACTGACCCGACCCGAAGTGTTTGACCCGAACAGAATCGATACCTGAAATTGACCCGAACAGACCCGATACTTGAAATGTCCCAAACTAATATTACCTTATAATTGAACTTAAAATGTCTTGTACCAAAAATAATTCAAATTGTTCATCTTCAACCGTAGCTAAGCTCATAAACTAAATTGATAGTTTTTATTATAACAATAACAAAATATGTACTCCGTATAAAATTATTCATTTGAGCTTGATTCACAAATGAAACAACCCGAACATGACTTGACCCGAATATGACCCGAACATACTTGACCCAAAACCGACCCGACCCGACCTCTTCCCAAACCCGAATCAACCCGACCCGAATGTTAGCTGACCCAAAATGACCCGACCCGAATGACCCATTTGCCAGTCTGTACATCTGATCTCAGTCCTGTACACTTTTTTTCCTCCATGATCTGACGTATAAAGTTCTGACCTATACTTCATCTTGAATGTTCTTATGTTGTTTCCTGAACTTTTTATCATCACCTTTGGACTGTTAAGTTTTTATAGTTTCTTTTAACGTGATTTATGTTCTTCTTCGTGCCATGCAGGTACACATATAGGGTTGGACATAGATTGCACGATGGAACGTATGTATGGAGTGTTCGTTATCACTTTAGAGCGTCTCCTTATCCAGGTCAAGATTCTGTTCAGAAAGTTATCATCTTTGGAGATATGGGAAAGGTATGGGATATTTGATAGGAATTGATAGCACTTCTGGGTCCACTGGTGGTTGCATCTAAGCTTATGTTGATCTTAGAAACATATACTTCCTTCAAGGCATGTTTATATGTCTAAAAGCAAATCTACTAAACCATGTATTGAGATTTTAAATATAATCAGCAACACAATGCATATACAAAGACTCCAGACTTCAGCAGGGTGAAAGAGAGAGGGAGGCTGGGGGTTCATCTATATATATCCTTATACCTAAGATAGCAGAGAAGATATTTCCCAATAACATTTGATTTGATATTCTAGTGTTTTTTGCTACTTCACTATGAACAGAAGGGTGAACATTTAAGGAACCAATTCATATTCATCTTATGGCCAGTTATTCATACCTAGAGGTGTAGTAAAGAAACCATGCTTAGTAATCAGGGATGTTTACCCTGGACATTCCATGTAAAAGGCCAGTATAGTCTGTTATCATTTTTTTTATCTACCTGCCTGTGTAAATTAGCTGCAAAACTATTAGACATCCATCTATTCCATTTGTTAGTTTTCATTGTAGTACCTTCTGAATCATTGATACCTTAAATGTTTTAGGATGAACTGGATGGCTCCAATGAATACAACAATTTCCAGCGCGGCTCTCTAAATACTACTGCACAACTTATCAGTGATCTGAAGAACATTGACATTGTCTTCCACATAGGAGATATATGCTATGCTAATGGTTATCTGTCTCAGTGGGATCAATTTACTGCTCAAGTTGAGCCCATTGCCTCAGCTGTTCCATATATGATTGCTAGGTTGGTCAACTTATCTTATCTCTCTTCGAAATCTTTAGTTTGTCGCTGTGTTTCTTAAGGTCAAATTATTTTATTTTTTTTCCTTGCAGTGGAAATCATGAGAGAGACTGGCCAGGGACAGGTTCCTTCTACCAGAATACAGATTCAGGGGGAGAATGTGGTGTGTTAGCTCAGAATATGTTCTATGTTCCTGCCGAAAACAGGGAAAAATTCTGGTATATATAGGATATCATGATTTGGGATGCATTAAATTATTCTGTATGATCTTCAAATTGATGAATCAGTGATTAGACGGAATTAAGAATCTATTTTCTTCTTCTGCAGGTATTCCACCGATTATGGCATGTTCAGATTTTGTATTGCTGATACAGAACATGATTGGCGAGAGGGAACAGAACAATATAAGTTCATTGAACACTGTCTAGCATCTGCAGATCGACAAAAGCAACCATGGCTTATTTTTTTAGCACATCGTGTGTTGGGTTATTCTTCAGGTGATTTTTTACGCTGTCGAAGGCTCATTTGAGGAGCCCATGGGCAGAGAGAGCCTTCAAAAGTTGTGGCAAAAATACAAGGTTGATATTGCTGTTTACGGTCATGTGCATAACTACGAGAGAACATGCCCCATCTACCAGGTTCGTTTTCATTTCCTTCTTTGGTTGGCAATATAAACACATTTTTAACCTCGAATCTAGGATTTTACAATTTTTTGGCCAAAATATCCTCTCATAATGATTTAAGCAATCCTGTTTTCTTTACAAAATTAATCGAAGCTAGATTTTTGAGAGGGGTGGGGGGAATTCCAGAAACACCATTCATTATATACTATAGTAGCTCAGCTTCTTCACGAAAGTAACTACTTTTTACTGGGCATCCATTATATCTACTGCTTTGCTAGTTCAGGTCCTTCAGGAAAGTAACTACTTTTTCTGGACATCTCAGAATAGCAACTCTCAAAGTCTCATTGCTTTGATGTCTTTTGTTGTTGCAGAACACATGTACCAACCAAGAGAAGAACGATTACAAGGGCACCTTGGGTGGAACAATACATGTAGTTGCGGGTGGTGGAGGAGCGAGTCTTGCAGAATTTTCAACCCTCAAGCCAAATTGGAGTATATTTAGAGACGAAGATTATGGATTTGTTCAAATGACAGCATTTAACCACTCGAGCTTGTTGTTTGAGTATAAGAGGAGCAGTGATGGGAAAGTTTATGACTCATTCACAATATCAAGGGATTACCGGGATATCTTGGCTTGCTCTGTGGACAGTTGCCCGGCAACAACCATGGCATCTTAGTAAACCTTGTAAGGGATCATGTTTATTGAAGCAGGGTGCTAATCATTTCAAATTTGTACAATAGGTCTCCCTTCTCGCTATCCCTGCTGTAGATGCGTGATCATTGAATTTTTTTTGTCAATCAAATTATAGATCAAGCTAGTGATAAGCCAGTTTGGCAAAATCGCAACGACCACTTATAGCAATCAAGCTTCCTGAGCAAGAACCTTCTGCCTTTCAGCCTTTTAAGTTATTATATTATGTGATAGACTGGAAGTAGATGGGCAAGCTATTTCATTCACACTACATAATATGCTTTGCAGTGACTATGTCCTCAATAATGGCCTAATTAGCACTTGTATATTATGTTACTTTTTATGCAGTAGAATTATAGAACATATATGTTCATTTTGGAAAGAATGTAATGGTTTGTTTTATAAAATTCCTTTGAACATTGGTCCTTTTCATTTTTTTTCAAAACCTGGTAATCTGGTATGTCTATTAATCATCAGATAGCCTTAAAACACAGGACAAGTTTGGATATCAAGCACTGCACAAGCTAGACTTCCAAAATGTATATTTATGCAACACAAGGATCAACTACATATTGCGAGTAACAAGGCAAGTTGGTTTTACACTTTTACATGCGTAGGACCTGCAGTTAGCCATTAGCGTTGAACATCACCCGTGTACTATTGTTTTGATTAGGGTGGAGATAACGGAAATATATTTTGTTAAGGTCATAAGGTGAATCTATCAGTGAAGGTGGCATCATCTAACAAATACGAATTACTTTATTTATTTATTTTTATGCGAATCATCTAACAGGTAGTGTTTGACTGTTTCTTTGTGTGTAATCTGCATCAATCAATTAAGTCAAAAAAGTAACGTAGCCTAAGAACAAAAAATTAAAATATTATGGAGATGCGGGGGATCGAACCCCGTGCCTCTCGCATGCAAAGCGAGCGCTCTACCATTTGAGCTACATCCCCAATTGCTGAAATGAAGGATATTGTATAATTATAATACTAATAAAGTTTCTTTATGGACAGAATTAAAGTAAAAATTTGTGGCCCATGCAGGTCTCGAACCTGCGACCTTCGCGTTATTAGCACGACGCTCTAACCAGCTGAGCTAATGGGCCAATTTGACAGAAGTTGCTTTAATTAATATTTATCCGCATATGTAATTAAAAAAAAAACACTTTTTAGTTTTTATCTTTGCGTCTAATCTGTGTTTCTAGCCAAAAAAATCTAGTTGTTATTAGATGTTCTGCTCTTTACCATCGATCCCTCCTACAGCTACGGGTATGGCACAAGCTATGGGATGTTCAGAACTTCAGATTATGCATAACGAACACTGAAGAAGACTGGAGAGAAGGGTCGGAACATTAAAAACTTATCGAACATTGCCAAACTTGCATCAATGGACTGACAATAGCTGCTGTGGCTCATCTTTCTTGCACATCGTGTGCTTGATGACTTGTCCTGTCAGGCTGTCAGTACAATGCAGAACATAGATCGCTTTAGAAACTGATGTGGAGAGAGAGCCTTCTGAAGTTATAGCGGATAATTTTTACAGCATCCGTTTTCAGCCATGTCCACAGTTACAAAACATTTACATCCCATATATGATATATCTGGTAAGATTTTGCATAGCAGATATCCAGATGAAATGGAATAGAGATCTTGATTATGGACTCGTAACACTGAGAGCACTTGACCACTAGGAATACTTGTTCGCTTACAAACAACAGTTGGGAAGGGAAGGTTTATGCCACTTTCAGTCAAGGCATGATATTTCACGGATAAGTCAGTGTGCTCTGTGAATCGTTACCAAGCTACTACAATGGCAAGGCATGATATTTTAAGGACAAGTCAGTGTGCTCTGTGACTTGTGAATCATTACCAAGCTACTACAATGGCTTCTGACTTAGCCTGTCAGCTGATCTCAGCTCTTCATTTGCAATGTCATGCCAGAATGCTCTCAAATAACTCGATTATATGCATGATGTATTTATATAATTCCAGCCAGTGAGTAATGATAAACGTCTCGTGCTTCAGATTTGGAACAACCACCCTTAATAAAATTTGAATTTAATTAATGGCCAAAAAATTTCTAGTTTACAATATATGCAAAGGCATAACTAAACAGCTAAACAGGGACTAATTTTTTCCCTTTGAAATAAATCAAAAAACAAGAGTATAAGATCCCACAGCCAATACAGCTAATGACCAGAACCCAATTGAATGTAAATGGATTATCAAACACCGAGGTCTCGAAATTCATCCCGAAGACACCAGTGACAACAGCAAAACAGGTAACAACAAATGTTGCTGCCGTCAGCAACAATTCAAATTGTATCAGCTGATTCTGAACAGTGCCCTGTTAAAATGAAAACCAAATTGATCAAAAGCTGTTAGATCTTCTGAGTTGAAAAGGCAAAAAACTTAATGGAGAAAATAATAGAGAAGATTGAAAAATGCAAAAAATTCACCAGTTTGATATTGATCAAGTCCTCCGTATCATCAATGTACTCTTTAAGCTGCATCAAAAGTAGATGACTTTTAAGTAACCGAAAAGCGCAATAATAGTGTTTGGGGTGGGGGGGGGATCAGATGATAAAGTAACAGCTTTGAAGTAGTTTGCTGACAGACTGCATCTTTCAAAATCCAAAAAGTAAAATCTTAAATACTAAGAGAGAGAAAGAGCAATTCTTACTGACGATAATTTGCTAAGAGTGTGGTCAATAAAAACAAAATATGCTTCAAGCAACATCTCAAGTTGAACAATGTCTTCCTTCTGACTGGATGAAGTTGTTAGAGTTTCATGCTGGCTTGATCTGGTGATACTGCTAAAAGCCCTCTGCAACTTATGAGATCCAATTGTAACAGCCTCAGGAGAAACAGGAGCAACAGGTGAAACTGGTGCAGATTTTGATAACCATTTCACTGAATCTAAACCAACTGAAGGGATATTATCTACGTCGGAATTCACCACAACTGAAGGAATGTTATCTATGTCTGAATCATTGGACATATAACCCTCCATTTTCTCCTTCTTCTCTGTCAGGTACATTTCTGCCATATCGCCATCATCATCCATGAGATGCTCAATTTCATCGCGCACCTGAAAATTCTATGACAGCTCAAATATGGAGTATATACCAACTGACCAGAAAAAATATTTTTAGGGAGTGCAAACTTGCACTTTTTCACAGAAGTATCTTAAGAGTTCATCATCCCAAAGTTATATAACCCACAAAAGCCTCTTGCCTCAATCGCACTACTTAATCAATGGGCTAAATTTTCAATCTTTGACAAAATAATACCATTGCATCAAGCACATTGAAGAGTTTACCTTTTGAACTCGCTGAGTCAGACTAAGGAGGTTGCCTTTGAATCTCCGAACACGTTCCAGGTTCAAAGTGCTAATAGATGATGTCAACTCGTCAAGCACTGGACGTATCTCTGAAGTCAATTCTTTTGCCTGAAGAATTCCAAAATTCATATAACATAATTCATGATGAAACATAAAATCAAGTTTCAAAAGGTAATGCTTTGGTTTTGGCAAGCAGAATGCACAAGTTCACAAAATTGGGAATTAATGTCAAACCAGAGAAAAACTCTGGGTGTCAATATGTTAGTGTGTTACACTGAACTTTTTAGAGTACTCCCTTCGTTCCATCGAAAGTGGTATAATCAACATTTGAGTATTAAGAAGTGTACATAATGAGTGAAACAAAATTTGTATTGAAATAGTTGTAATAAGGGAAGATGATTGGTGAATATACTACATTCATTCATTACAAAAAGGAGGAAACTTCAATGGAAACTATCACTTTCAGTGAGACAGAGGGAATATATCGCAGAAAGCTTAATTATTTTTCCTTCAATAGAATGTTCTATAAATACAGATCATTGCATGTTTCTTGCAGGTTTTATAGCATCGGGCAAGACATATCAAGCTATAATGCATACCTGGGCATCTAGGGACGTGCATGTTAATTCCAAAGCCAATTCAAGTGCTTTAAATTCAAATGGCAATTCATCTGTAAGAACACACAGCACAAACAATTTACCACAGCTATTTTTGTAAAATACACAGCCATAGGATGTGACACGAATCGCATGACAAAAGACAATTTTCAGCAGATATGTTTTTTTTTTTTTTTTTTTTTTTTTACAGGTTTTCAAAGTTACAGCCAGCAGCAGCTTTTGCAAAATTACTCTGTAAAACTTAATCAAGAGGCAGACTACAAACCAATATTATATATAATGCCACGAAAATATCAACCACATGCTCATATAGTGTGATCTGAAGGATCAAATCTTATGTTTCAGGAAAGGAAAAAAAAAAAAAAAAAAAGCTACAACACTACAGACTCAATAATGTCAGTAAATCTAATTTTAATGTGATCAAGCTCCAAAAATTACTCTATACTTTCATAATGTTGTCCCGTTTTCAATTTTGCCATATTTCAAAATGAGAATCCTGGTTTTAATTTCTCTCTACAATTAATACACTACTACAGCAAGAGCTATTACTCTTGAAAGTTATCCCCCTCTTCCAATTTTAAGACAAGTCAATCAAGACAAACATAGTGAAATGGAGTAAAAAAAAATAATAATAATAATAATAAAAAAGTTCCAAGAACAGAGGTGAGATAATGAACACTAAGGTGTGCTGGGAGATAAGAAGTATCATTTGAATTCATTGAGAAGATGCAAATCCACTATGAAAACTCCTAGGTTCAGATAACTAGTAAGCTTTGTCTGCTTGTGTTTACATCCATATATGTTTCAAATATATTTTGAGAGGATATCTATTCTAAAAAAATTTGAAAATTACCAGCATGATCTCTGGTTGCTTGAAGTCGATTGCACAACTCTGTCTTATACTGCATGACAGAGCCATCCAAAGAGTTCATCACAAAAGCCTCGTCAGCAGTGATTACGCATCTAATCTGCTCTAAGTTGACGACAATAGCCTTCTCTCTGCCCAATATGGCAGAAGGATAGATAAACAAAGGGTCCAAAAGGCGAAGATCCCTAGAAGGCAAGGAACAATTTTTCATAATAGTGGACTTATCAAGCTCCATAACTTTTGCATTCCCATTCTGCTCAATCTTTATCCATGAACGACTTCCATGACCTCTCTTCTTTACACCTGAATAGCCAAATGCATGCCCAAAGGCACCTGCCCTTGCACCACCACTGGGAACACCTTTATTAGAATTTTCTGGCTTCTCCATCACCTTTCACTAAATGCTCCCTTGATAAATCTGCAGAACTTCATAACAGGTGTCTGCATCAATACATATCAACTTGGCTTTTCTTTCAAAGCCCCGTCTTAGTTTTCCAAGATGCTATTATATTTCATCTAGGAACTAATCTTCCCGGCAGCAAATGTGCGAATTCCCAGGAATCCTGCAAGTTCAGAATAAATCTCCCATTCACCTTCCCATACAAGCAAGTTCAAGGTATCATATACTACTTTATCATATTGTGGAAGTAATGCAACACACGAGTAAGATAACTATGCTACTAGAATTATTTTCTTAAAACAATAGTACAAAAAGTGGTAACAAATTTAACATCAACTACATTAGGCAATTTTACACAAAAAGTAAAGCAGTCAGCAACACCACATGCCAACTTGGTCAAATTTCTTTGATTAACTAAAATATCTAACAACTTCAGGCTCTCTAACAGTACTAAGGGAATGAACACCTTTGGCCTTCGAGGATCAACTTCATCATAGTAATAATTTTGAGGCCACAGCATGTGCTTGCTAAACTTTCAAGGTCTACCATGGTCACCTTGGACCTTCAAGTTTGAGAAACTTCATTGACAACTCGATAACACAGCTCAATCAATGGCACACAAGACAAGTACTACCTCCGTTTCATATTATTTGCAACTATTAGATATTTCCTACTCACACTTTATCTCAAATTGTTGCAAATAATATGAAATGGAGGTAGTAAATTGTCTTACAACAATTGGCAATACCAGAAAATTTCATATACACTATCAAGTAGTTTTGATTGATGGAACGAGAAGTTGATACAGGAAAATGGAAACTATTATGTAACAAAGCAACTTTCACAACGATTACATTTCTCAATACCAAAACTCAAAAACATTCAAGGGGACGAGTTTCATTTGATACACCAGAGTCTCAAAATGATTTTAGCATTCTATATTCTCTTTCAATTAATTAAATAATTCAGAAGCAATACGCCACAGAACATAATCAGCACGCCGAAGAAAAGCATCAAGCCAATGCAATGAATCAAATAAGTTGCAGCGGACGAGAATAATTCAACTGGCGATCAAACTCAGTAGTACACCGTATATCAATTGGCTGACAAAAAAGATAACTAGTAATGATATTCAAAACATTTGCAACAACAATTGGCTGACAAACAAGATAACTAGAAATGATATTCATAATATTTGCAACAACAATTGGCTGACAAACAAGATAACTAGTAATGATATTCATAACATTTGCAACAACTACAACAAACAAACACATCCACAAACACTGCCGGATATGCGCATACATACAGCAAGAGAGTACAATTCCGTCACTTCCGGTGTTAATTGTCGTGTAACTAGTTCAAATTACACTATCAACGCGACTATCAATTCTGGGACCAAGGAATTACATGAATTAATCCTCTAAAACTTTCGTTCAATTCCAAACAACCAAACAAAATTCAGCAAACAACCCAATACAACACAGAGAGTTTTAATCAAGTACACCAAAACCCCATCAAATTCTTACCCATAAAATAAAATTACATGTCCCCAATTGTTCCAATATAACATAAACACAAAAGCAATTGTATGAAGAAGCTACACAGTGAGAAATTTTACCTGGGTGATGATGATTAGGATGGTAAATCCGCCAACAAATTCAAGATTGCTGAATCAACTTCGCCAAAGAAGAGGAGAGAGAGACGCAAAGCCAAGCTAATGAATAATGATCGGGTAGTCTCAGAATATTGTTGGGTTGTACTTGTATTTGACAATACGCTGTAAATGTAAAATGTGAACCTCCTTCCCTAAGCATGGTTTTAGTGGTTATTAGAACACAGTAGTAGATCATTTGGATGCTAAGCAACAAACGTCACCATCTACGTATCCTTTTTTTTTTTTTTTTTTTAATAAGATCGTTAATTTGAATACTTGGGTCGGGATTCGATGAGGTCGAGTCGAGTTTATTTCAAAGTTGAGTCATACTAAATTATTGTATGTGTCCATACAAGATGAAATATGAATTGGGGTTTTTTCGAGTCAAATTGAATTGAGTCGGTTGAGTCACTTTTTGACACATCTTTTAAATTTAATCAAGATATTTTTATATCATTGCAATTGCTCGTATATTGATTATACGATAAACGACGTTATATTGTAGTTCAAGGAAAAATTGAAAAAGTTGAATGGGGGTAAGAAAAAAATAAGAGAGACTGTGTAAAATGTGAGGGGTGTAACCGTGTAAGATAAATGTGGTTCAAGTTATTTCATATTTCGAGTTGTTGTTTCGAATTCAAACTGGGTCTTGGGTTGGGTAATTTGAGTTGAGTAATCGAAAATAGGTAAGGGGATATTTGGTTTGGACATGGGTAATCCAAATCGTTACATTCAAGTCGAAACAATTGAAAATCATGGGTTTTTTTTTTGTTTTGCGGGAAACAATCAATTCGGGAGCTATGGTGTATTTGCTTTTAATCAAGTAGGTTTAACTTGGGCCAATTTCGTTTAAGACCAAATTTAGGTATTGGCTTCGGCTCTCGTTCGAATTATTTGGGTTTAGAATCGTTATTTGGCATGTCTAATTTTTTTACCTTAAGATACATTTAGGTTTAGGAATTCAACATATGATTTGAGAATTTGAGTACAAGTTGTGTTATATTTGGGTAAAAAGACTTTTAATTTGAGCATATATGTGTCAATTAGGATCGATTCAAGGAAGGAAACTTTGAATTCTGATCAAATACAAGTTCTCAATAAGATGAGGATAAAAGATATTACCATCTAAAAATTTGCTAATATGCGTTGTAATAAAAAGGGAAAAAAAAAAAAAAAAAAAAAAAAAAAGCATGCAATAGAAGAATTACAATGAACAAGAAGTAATATTGAGGCTAGGTCTTTTTTTTTTTTTTAGTTTCATTTTATCAATAGAATTAAGTCTACCTTGAGCTTCGCAATGCCTCTCGTCAACAACCCTATTCCTTGACTCTATCCCTTTTCTATTTCTTTCTCTATTTGCACCATACCTTTCATAGAACCCAAAATCTTAAACTAACAAATAAATTTTAAAAAATGATTACCTATAAAGTAAGGAAATTTTTTAGTAATTAATTTTTCTAGCATAATATCCTCATCCAACACTTTGTCCTAATCATTTTGTTTATGTCATATATATAGTTTCTCTGAATTGTTAAGGTGAGGAAATTCTTTAAATTGTTTTTATTATTTTCTATATTAATGTAAGAATTGAAGCTAACTTGTTTCTTAATTTTTTTTCTCAGAAATATCACAAATAGCGGCAATTCTGAATGGTCGATTCCATCTTTTATTTTTCCTTAGAAGAAGGTGAGTTTTTTAATTCAACATTGCAAATAAAATTGACTAATTTCTTTTTCTTATAATTTTTGTTTGTTTTTCTTAATAAAAATTATGAATCAAATCAACCAAAAAAATCAATTTTATTGTTAGATGTAATCCGAATGAATTCATGTAAAACTTTGAATTATTGATGTATGCCTGTTTAAAAGAAGTGTGTGTATACAATCTAAAACAGTTTGCATTTATATAGAACCATTTATCCCACATTTATGTACCAACATATAAGTTAATATTTTGATTTAATAAAGATAAAAGAAGATGATAAATATAAATAATGCATATGTTGTATTGTTTTCTTTATTTATTGGATAAATTGGCTTGAGATGTGGAATAGATTTTAGATATAAAATCATGTTTTATTGAACTTGCTTAATGAACCAAGTTTGATCAGATCAACAAGGTAAGTGAATTATGAAAAAATTTCTATGCAAAGGTAAATGAACAATGTTTTTATTTCAATTTTTTTAGCATGGTGTGTAAAGCATTAATTGTCTTATAGACTTTTGCTACTCTCTCTCTCTATACCAACAAAATAGCTTAATTTTCTTGTCTTTAAAAAGTAGTTTAATCATTGCAACAGGTTGTCATACAGGTGATAAAACTTGTACCATATAGATTAAGATCAACCTATCTAAATATAGATGATACAAGTTCTGAAATAACACAAAGAATAATTTAATGATCTTGAGCTCATTTAAGCTCCTGCATCGCCATACCTTGGTGGATGCAAATATAAGGAGATCATCGAAATCTATTGGAAATGGTTGTTAATGATTTTGAGTGTGAAATATTTCGAGCGGGATACATCCAACTTTCAACTCAATCTGATGCTGTAGAAGTTGAATCTAACACACATGAAAGGGGAGATCGTTGGCGTTTGTTGTTCCCTGAGGTTGTCCAAGATACAAACAATTCCAATACAATTCAAGTATCACATGATCTCACAAACAACGGTCAAGTAAAAAATGATCAAGTGGACAATCATCAAAACTCAAGTTATGTTGGTAGAATTGTTGAGTCATTCCCATTAGAAAACATTGAAAGGGCAAGAAGGCACAATAGACAAATCTCCATTTTATCAGATTCTTCAACCGAGGACATAATTTTAATAGACCATAGTTTCATGGTTAGAGGTGAACAATCAAACACAAGTAATGAAACTATTTCTATGGGATCTTCTAATTATGTTCATACAAATTTGGAAAACAACTCGAGCTCAACAAGTATCACAAACATTTTTGGACAAGAGGAACTTGAACATGATGAATTTGAACCTACAAAATCATCATTATCATCAGAAGGTTCATCCGAATATCCCATGGATAGACCATCTATCCAAGTGATGTACAAAGATGATGAAAAATACGATCCACAACGAATTCCATCCTCGGTGTTTGAAAGATGTGATTCTCTTATACCCGCGGAGTGGAGTGCTACATCTAATGAATCATTATTCAGCATTCATATCGGTAATTCTAGTATAGGAAGAGAACAAGCTCTTCTCTTAAGCGGAGAGCTGAAGAATCACGTTGGAGTATCTCCTAAACCACGAGAAGAATTCGAGCTTGAAAACTTACAAGAGATAAGAAAACTCGCAGGATTATCTAAGGCAAGTGATGATCAAGGTATTGTAAGCACTTCAACAACAACTAAAGGGAAAGTTGAACATGAGGATAAAAAAACAGATAAGAGAGTAACAATTGAAACAGATGAAGAAGCTACAAAAGGGATTTCAACAATGCAACTTAAGGAAGAAAATAAACATAAACAACAAAACATCCATTCATCTAGCATTTCCTTCCACTCTAACACAAGTGAAGATAGCAATTTTTCCTTTGCATTCCCGGTGTAAGTTTGCCTTCGTTTATCCGTCTTTTTATTTGACCCCATTTTACTATTAGATACAGTGCATCAAGTAGTTCTCCTGTTTTTATTTACTCGCAACATAGCCTTGTCGCACGCACTTTGAGGCTAAATTTTATATATAATGTAAACGGACTAATTATTGAAAGTAATTTTTACACATGATACCTACCTAACCCTACTCTAATCCCCTTGATAAAATCGCTCGTTTATCTTCACTAATCATCTCCTAAAATTGCATGGCTAAAAGGTGTGTTGCAAGTAAAAAGAAACAGAGGAAGTATATATTAGTAACTCGTATGTACATTTTTCACAGTTTATTAAATTTTATGTGAACATGCTTAAGAAAGTATACATCGTGAGAATATCAAAGCACATTTTAATTATATTTAACCATAAAAGCTAAATAAGTTAATTTTTAGAACTTATAAGGTGCATATGTGTAGGTGTGCAGTAGTAATGTAGAAAACCATTATTCAAATGTAAATGTGTTTAATTTAACTTACATAAGTTTATTAACTCTTCATTCTTTCAGATTTGGCGAAGTGGGAAGAAATTCTTTTAAAAAAGGGCATCATCAACAACAACTAGACATAAACAACCAATTCGCGTCTTCACCACCCGTGACAGCTAAAAAAAAAGGAATTTTTTCTATCATCCGAATTTTCTCATGCAACTCTTGTCGAAATTGCTCTTCTTGCTGCTCTTGTGTTTCTTGCTCATCTTTCACGTCTTGTTTCACTTGTCCTTCCTGCTTCTCTCGTATTACCTCGTGTTTCTCTCGTATTACCTCGTGTTTCTCTTGTACCTCTTGCAAGACTTGTTGCGGTGCTTGTTAAGAAAATGCTCAACCCGGCCTAACCCTCCTTCTCCACTTCTAATTTACACAATTTTTACTAAGGCATTTTTATAACTCTTTCTTTCTCTATATTATAATTATGGTAGATTTGTCGAATGAGATTGAAGTCTTTGTATTATTCATATTTATTAGCCATGTTATGTATATGTTGTCTAACATATTATCTAGAGGCATAAGGAGAAGATAGAAATGGTAAACCATGTACAAAAAGGTTTATTAGAAGCCTTTCTTGGTCCAAACGCGAGCATTGTTTAGCCTTTTTCTCTATTAGAAAAATGTGTAAATTTGTACATGTATTTGTAGAAACTTTTTTTAGGAACGTTATTCATTAGATAATTATATAGTTATACATATTGTTATCTGTATAGTTAATTTTTAAATAGTTCAACTAATATTTCCAATCAACTTTTCAACATATGAAATATACTATTACTCTAAAATATATATTATTTTTGATGAGAATACTCTAAACTATACATGATTGTATTAGAAGTTAGAAATTGTTTAACAAATAAACTGTGAAAATCTAGAAATCGAAAATAAGTAACATTATATATTTACAATTTAAGTTATGAAAATAATAGAATTCCTTTAATTATATATAGTGACATGATTTGTACAATGATTTAGTAATAATTACAAAAAGTAACAATTTTGGGGGAACCCTAAATTCAGGCAATACAATAAATAAAACTCATGAAAGTTGCTTGCAATAGTTAGTTCGGAGAGCATGATCCACATTATCATGTTCCTAGCGTCCTAAGTGTGCATGAACAAAAATGTGAAGCAACAATTTAAGCATGCAAGCTACAACTTTTTCCCTTGTTCTTTTCCACTTTCTCTCATTAGGGTTTTCTCATTTTCTAAGCTAAAATTACCCCCGGCACGAAGTATTTGTTCAATCCTATACATTTTTTACTTGTTACTAGTCTCCCTTATATAAAACTTTTGTTATATATCTTTCTTGACGAGTTATTCTTTTAAGGGTAATTATCACTGGTAGACTCCAGCTTCTGGCTTTTATCTTTGGTACACCTACTTGACTATTGTTTATCAGTGGTACACTCAAGGTTTTACACAATTATCAATGGTACACCTACCGTACCCTTTCCGTTAAAAAAACGTTAGTTTTGGCTTTTTTTCGATTTGTTTATCAGTGGTACACCCAAGGTTTCACACAGTTATCAACGGTACACTTTTTTTTTTTTTTGAACGGGAAGTAATAATATCATTAAATAATAGTCATACGGCATCTACAATAATAAAGATCTGTAAACCACAGATTTAGAGAAAATATCATAACTTTTACAATCAAAATCATAACTAATTTGCATATTTGGCATAGCTCATACTCTACCGCTTCAAGCTTGACGCGAGCAATGATTTTCGATGTCTTTCCGTACCCTTTCCGTTAAAAAACGTTAGTTTTGGCTTTTTTTCAATTTTTTAACTTAAAAAACTGACACGTGACGGCTTGTGATTGGTCCAAAAAAATTAAAATAAAATAAAATAAAATTTTACAAAAAGTTAGATTAACTTTTCCTATTTATTATTATAATTATTATAAAAATAAAATAAAAAAATAAAAAACAACAAGCCCTCCCCCTTCACGGCCTTCAGCCACCCCTTTCCCTCCCTGCCCGCATCCTTTTCTTTCTCGGCGCCCGACCCCCGTCCCGCTGGCGATGCCCTCCCTTAATCACCCCGCTGGCACCCCTCCCGCCAGCGATCCCTTTTGCAACCCCCTTTCCCCATCCCTTTTCCGGCACAACCTCCTCTACCCTACGCACAACCCACCTACGGACCACCAATCCAAAGCACCACAACGAAAGGAAATGGGAGGTGAAAGGGGGGGAGGGGAATCTGATTGTTTTGGGGTCTGATTGTAGGGTCGTGGTTGGGGGGTCGAGTTATATGTTGATTGTCAAGTTGTGGGGGTTTTGAGGTTTGTGGTGGTGGTGGTGGTGGTGATGGTGGTGGTGGTGGGTGGCGCAACAGTGTTGTTGCCCTAGGTGGTGGAAGGGGTTGGAGAAAGGCCATGGAAGGGAGATGAGGGAGAAAGAAGGTTTGTTTTTTTTTTTGAGAAATAAGTTAAAAATAGTTAATTAATTTTTTTAAGTTAAAAAATCGAAAAAAGCCAAAACTAACTTTTTTAACGGAAAGGGTACGGTAGGTGTACCGCTGATAACTGTGTGAAACCTTGGGTATACCATTGATAAAAAAAATCGAAAAAAAGCCAAAACTAACGTTTTTTAATGGAAAGGGTATGATAGGTGTAACGTTGATACCTGTGTGAAACCTTGGGTGTACCACTGATAAAAAAATAGTCAAGTAGGTGTACCAAAGATAAAAGCCAAAAGGTGGAGTGTACTAATGATAATTACCCTTCTTTTAATACACATTAAGGTGAAAATAGACTATTTTCTTTAACTTCTAGATTTCCACATATCATCCAAGATCTATCTCTAAACACAATCTAATTGCACGATGCATGAATCTTCATTTAGTTGAAATCAATACATGATCCATTGTCGAAACATTTTTCACACTTTTATCTATAACATGCTACACGACTACACCATAACACTCCAAAAGCGAACTTGAGTAGTTCGTTGAGTATATACACTTACATCGTTATACTTATTAATTAAATTCCTATGAAAAAATTCAAATAAATAAGGGACGGAGGAAGTAACGTGACAGAGTCACAACTCAGGAGTCAGCCTTGGTAACGACCAAGTAAAACCCGAGCCAAAACATACGTTGGTGGAAAAGAAAGAAAGAAACCAAAGAAAACATACTTTTCCCAAATCTCCTCACAATCCGACCCCACCATACCACACCACCTATTTTCTCTCTCCTCCACGTGTTTCCCATTGATTGGCTCCCGCATTTATTTCTCCAACCTCCCCTTCCCCCACCTCCGTTGGGCCCCACCCACCTTTAACGGCGGCCATGCCAAGCCACCCCCTCTTTCTCTCTCCTCACTTCTCACTCTGCAAATTTATTCTAGAGAGAGAAACTAACTCCTGTTTTTAGAGAGAGAAATTCAATACAGTTTTTAGGAGAGAGAAAGTTTATTCAGCAAGTCCTTTTTAGCAAGCAGTAGTAGCAGTAAAACTCTAACCTTCTCTTTCAAAAAAGCCAAAACAAAAAACAAAAAAAGGAAATTTAAATTTAATAACCCAGAAATTTCCTCATTCGCCCAGAATTTCTTCACTCCTGAATCTCTCTCCTTTGCTTAGATTTCGACAAGATTGAATCCGAAAAATGCATCGTTTAGTCCCTTTTGTAGTTATACAGCTGCTACTGTTACTGGGTATTTTCAGCTTTTCTGGGAATTCATCGTTGTTGTTAGAGGAGAGAGAAAGGGAAAGAGGGGTTTTGCTGGAGTTCAAATCGTTGGTTTCTGATCCGTCAGGAATCCTTTCTTCGTGGGTTTTTGGGAATGATTCCAGCGATACCCATCACTGTTCTTGGGTCGGTGTTGATTGCGACGCTCAATTTAGGGTTTCGTCGCTCAAGATTGTCGGCGGCGGCGGCGGAGGAGGCGGTGATTCAGGTAAATTTGATTATGATTTGAAGGAAGTTGTTGATTGTTTTAATGTTTCTGAGTTTCCGTTTTATGGATTAGGGATTAGGAGAATTTGTGATGCTCGGGTTGGGAAATTGGGTGGGGGATTACCGGGTGTGATTGCTGAATTGGGTAAACTTAGGGTTTTATCGCTTCCATTTCATGAATTTAGTGGGGAAATTCCGGGGGAGATTTGGGGGTTAGAGAATTTAGAAGTGCTTGATCTAGAAGGGAATTCGTTTTCTGGGAAGTTGCCGGATTCTATTAAGGGTTTGAGGAGATTGAGGGTTTTGAATTTGGGGTTGAATAGGATTGGTGGGCAGATACCGAATTCGGTTTCAGGATTGGTGGGGCTGGAATTGATTAATTTGGCTGCTAATGAGTTGGAGGGTTCGATTTCGGTGTTGGTTGGTGGTTTTCCGAGGTTGTGGGGGCTTTATCTGTCGAAGAATCGGTTAAAAGGGGAAATTCATGATGTTTGGGGAAGTAATTGTCGAAATCTAAAGTATCTTGATTTTTCTGGTAATGCATTGAATGGGAAGATACCGGTTAGCTTGGGGAATTGTCGGGAGTTACGAGTGCTCTTGTTGTTTTCGAATAAGTTGCAAGGCGGTATGCCACGTGAGCTTGGCCAGTTGAGGAAGCTCAACGTGTTCGATGTTTCAAGGAATAGCCTTATTGGTAATATCCCAGCTGAGCTTGGCAATTGTCGTGACCTATCAGTTCTTGTGTTGTCGAATATTGAGGATCCGGTTTATGGGGAGTTAGATGGTGCATTGAGTCATAGTGAAAGCAATATCTTCCAGGGTTCGATTCCCATGGAGATCACCACATTGCCGAAACTGAGAATTCTTTGGGCTCCAAAGGCTGGTATTGAGGGTGAGATTTCGCGCAAATGGGATAGTTGTGACCGTTTGGAAATGATAAATTTATCTCAAAATCTCTTCACTGGCAGAGCAGATGGTGTCTTTGATAGATGCAAGAGCTTAGTTTATGTTGATGTTAGCTTAAACAGGTTTTCGGGGAAGCTCATAGACAATCATCATGATTCTAGCATGGACGAGTTAAATTCTTGGGATGGCCCTCAATTCACATTTAGTGCGTGCAATTCACCGCCTTCACAAATTTCAAACTCTCGCCAGTTGAACAAGGGTCCTACTGCATATCTTTCATTCTTTGTCAGTAGAGCTTGCTTGAGAATCTCGTCTCTCCAGTTGAAGGCCAAGTTTTTTGTGATCCGCCGAAATAGGAATAATGAATTCATTGATGCTCATAGGGTGGTAAGGAGATCTGAAAATGCTAGGTTACTTTCAGAAATCAACTCATCGTTACATGAAACAGTGCCAGCCACGAGTGCACAGAGCAATGCTGAGGATCTGCAGGCTGATGCTGATTCTCCATCAGGAACTGGATATGGTAATGGAAAAAACCAGTTCAACTCAATAGAGATTGCATCCATTGCATCTGCATCTGTTATTGTTCTTGTTTTGTTGGCACTTGTTGTCCTCTTCATTTATACAAGGAAATGTGCTCCCAGAGATAGTTCTAGGATTCAAGTGTATGAAAGAAGGGAGATCAGAGTTTTCGCTGACATTGGGGTCCCATTGACATTCCAGAATATTGTTAAGGCAACGGACAATTTTAGTGCAGGCAACTGCATTGGGTGTGGTGGCTTTGGTGCAACCTACAAGGCCGAGGTATCTCCAGGAGTGATTGTGGCTGTAAAGCGGCTTGCTGTTGGAAGATTTCATTGCATTCAACAATTCGATGCTGAAGTAAAGACCCTTGGAAGGATTCGCCACCCTAATTTGGTTACGCTCATAGGCTACCATGCCAGTGAAACAGAGATGTTCCTCATTTATAATTATCTCCCCGGAGGTAATTTGGAAAGGTTCATCCAAGAAAGATTGACAAAGTCCATTAAATGGAAAGCACTTCACAAGATTGCATTGGATGTGGCCCATGCAATCGCATACTTGCACGATGAATGCAATCCAAGGGTTATACACAGGGATGTCAAGCCAAGTAATATCTTGTTGGACAACAACTACAATGCTTACCTTTCTGATTTTGGCTTATCAAGGCTGTTGGAGAATTCTGAAACCCATGCCACCACTGGTGTTGCTGGGACTTTTGGGTATTTAGCCCCTGAATATGCTATGACATGTCGTGTGTCCGAGAAGGCTGATGTGTACAGCTATGGTGTTGTTTTGCTAGAATTGATCTCAGACAAGAAAGCTTTGGATCCTTCGTTTTCCTCTCATGGGAATGGATTCAATATTGTCTCTTGGGCACATATGCTATTGCGACAGGGTCGAGCAAAAGAGGTCTTCACAGCCGGAATCTGGGAGACTGGTCCGCATGATGATTTAGTGGAGGTGTTACACCTGGCTGTAAAATGCACTGTTGATACACTCTCAATCAGGCCTACGATGAAGCAAGTTGTACAACTGTTGAAGCAACTTCGGCCACTTGGCTAGATTTATGTAAGTTCCATAATATTTATGTATTTTTCACCCAGTTTTGCATCAGCGAATTGTTTATGTAGTGTATCTTATGTATTTTTTTAGTGCCATTTAAGAGGGGCCTGTTGTGAATGTTCATTAGAATGTAGATATTACTAGTCTGTCCCAATTTAAAAGCTGTTAGGGTACAATTTGAGAGTATTGTAACTTGGTTCTTGCAGCATCTGAAATGTACATATCAAGAGATGGATAAAATTTATCTGGCATTTTTTTCCATGCCTGTATCTTTACTTCATTTGCCGGCAGGTTTTATTTTGTGCATACTGTTATATTGTATACATCAGACAGTCACCCCTTTGCAAAGTAACTTTTATGTGACTTGAAGTTGGGGTGACTAAATCCAGCAGCAACTGAAACAATAACAACAACAAAGTCCTAGCTTTTTTTTCCAAAGAGATGGGATCAGCTGCATGATCCGAGAGTCTATTTTGTGTGATCATCCACAAAAAGAGCAAGGAAATCTCCGTATAATATCATCTTGGTTCATGCTCATAGTCATGGATGTGAATTTTGGAGACGAGGTGACTAAGCCTATTGTATACATAAGTTTCCCAATGTTGTGCACTCGCTTCTGCTGACATGGAAACTGCTGTGAAGGAGTGGGATCAGTAATAGAATATCATCCCCATGGAATAACATCTGATCTTGGTTCATTTGATTACAGAATCAAAGACTTTTAGTGCAGTTTCAGTCTTCCTAAAGAGACAGAAAGATAGGGATAAGTTCAACCCCACAACAGTATATGTGGTGGACATTATTGGATTACATTGACTGTAAGTTGTGAGTTGAAAAATCATGGTGAAGATTTGTCGACTTTTGCCAAATCAAGAAAAAGATACGTTTAGGATATTCTCACCTGTTATTCATGCAAACATATTCATAGAAAATCTGCTTTCGTAAATATTGAAAAGGACTCGTCAAAAATAAAGAAAAACTATGGAAAAGGAAAGGAAAAGTCGCATTTGAGGCTAGTTGGTTGCAACCTTGCAACTCACGGCTAAAATGCCTTTCTATTGACGGTTACAAAAAATATATTATTGGCTTCGTATCCTTCAAATTATTATTATAGCTTAGCTTAATTTAGCTTCGCAACTCCTGAAATATCATTAATTTCATACAGGTGTACAGTCAATGTCCTTTTCTTCTCTTATGCAAAGTAAGCAAAAGATGACGTGAGGTTCTAGATGTTAACTGTTTGTATGAACTAGTTTGACAAGCTGACTGGTTGGTTTGATTAGTTGTGTATGTAAATAAGTTTGGTAAATAGTCGTTAGTTTATAGTTACAGTTACAAAGTACTTTAGTGTCGTATAAATAACTTTGGATATAAGACTCATTTTTCCTTAACTATCACAAACTCGTCTAACTAAAAGCTAATATTACTAGTTTTTTTTTTTTTTTTTTTTTTTAAACTTAAAATTCTCTCTAAATCTTCTCTTAACCAAGCACTCACATTAGAAGTTTGATCTTAACCAAGCACTCACATTAGAAGTTTGAGTATAGCCAACTCTTTCTTTGCCTCAAATCTCTTTTTTTGCGTGATAGCTTGATGCCTTGATCTATGGTAGACTATGTTGGTTTTAAACATTATCCTAACTATTGATGTATTATGATACATTTCGTATGATGTATAATTCAAACTATAACTATTATAATCCTAATTTTATAAATTGAAAAATGAAACATAAAAATTCCTAAAATATTTTCGTCAGATTTCCTACTCAATTAGGTTGCATCGGTTCATGTATCTTAATTCTTTTTTCTTTTGAAATAGAAAAAAATCTTGATTTGATTAGATTTCAATATTTGATTGGGCTTTTAAATTCCTAATTCGATCAATTTTGGAAAGTTTACTCACAATAAACCAATACAAAACTTGAAATTTTAAGCCTTTATTTATTGAAAAAGTAAAATCTTATTAGCAATTACATATGAATAATTAAATCATTAATTTTATATCAAATGAGAAAATAAAAACGAGAATATATGAAGTTTATGAACAGGCAAAAGTGTAAGATGTTGGGATAAAAAAAAGTAAAAACGTACCGATGTTAGTAGTTTTACACTTTTACCCAATTTACCCCAAAATAATCTTCCAATTTTGATTTTACCCCTTTATTTACAAGGAGTCGAACTATGTTCCATCATAAGAAACTCAGAATTTTCGAAATTTTTGCACAACCCTACTCGCAAAGGCTAAAAAAAACCGAAGCAACTGCATCAAATTCCCAGCTTCAAAGGGAGTAATGGCAGAAGCAGAAGCAGAAGCAGAAGCAATTAACACAGTTGAAGAAGATCAACGACACCTTCCTGACGATTTAATTACCCAGCAAATTCTTACAAAGTTGCCTGTCAAATCTCTTCTTCGATTCAAATCTGTTTCCAAACTATGGTATTTCACTATTTCTTCTTCCCAATTTGCTCATACCCACCTCAAATTTTCTCTCTTTTCCCCTCCCCATTTCATATTTATCCAATATAGGAATAAATTTTACCTCTTTTCTTGTAATTCTGATGATTCTTATGGTATTGGTGATATTTCCGACAAGAATTTGATCAAATTAGGGTTTGATTTTCGTGGTGATGACCTTGTTTTGATTGGAACATGTAATGGGTTGGTTTGTTTAGCTTCTTTTTCTGGGTTTTTCTTCATTTTATGGAACCCTATTACTGGGAGATTTAAGAAATATTTGGACCCTGATTTGTTACTTGATTCTCCTTGCCGGGTTTCGTGGGGATTTGGGTATGTTTCGAGTATTGATGATTATAAGATTGTTAGAATTCTTGAATTGAATGATTACCGAGAGATTTGGGTGCATGTTTTTTCATTAAAATCAAAGAAATGGACAAGAATTTCTGATGAGTTGTATAAAGATATTTTTTCATTGAAGACTAATGAGCATGAAGAGATTGGATTTGATCACAGCGAGGAGCCTATTCGGAACCCCTATGCATTCCATTCAAGGCAAGGAATTTTGGTTAATGAGACTCTGTATTGGATTGTGTCTGAGGTGGATGATTTCGGTCGGAAGATCATTGCCTTTGATTTAGCCCTTGAGATGTTTGATTCACCCGGCGATTTGGATTTGGTTTCAAATACTGCGTATCGCGATAAGTTTTTATGTGTCATGGGAAGATGTTTGTCTAAGTGTGGGATGGATATACGTGATGATATATATATATAACTATGTTGAAGGGTCCTGGGAAGATAGAATCTATTTGTCTTTCCAGAGACTTGAGGTTAAGATCATGCCAAGGCATTGTTGGATTCACAGGGACCGGCAAGTTTTACGTCCTGCTGGAAGATTCAACCATAGGGGTTATCAACCCTAGCTCTAAGCCGATGAAGTACACGCCAATTTTAACTTGGAAAAGGTTGGCGAAATCTCGCGTTGCTAGTTTTGTTCCAAGTCTAATTTTTCCATCCACCAATGTGTAGCTGTCAGGTATGTGTGTGTACTATACTCCCATTTATATCTTGTTTGGCTCCAAAACTTATGACCTTGTACGATGCATAAAGTTAAGGATAGTTTATGGAACTAAGGAGATCCAAACGAAGTTTTACAAGTGTCGGCCTCCACAATCAAACCTGAATAAGACCTACTAGATCCTAGCTCAAAATTATCTGCATGTCTTAGATCAAAATCAGCAACTTTGAGTCACAAGTCTTTCGAATCTCAATCCAAACGAGCAAACAAATCATAAAATTCCAATAAATGTGTATCTTTTTATGCTATTGCAAAAGTTTGAATGCATAAAATTTGCTGGATGACATTGTGAAGCAGAAAAAAGATTGGAGGAGCACTGGTTGTGTAAGTTGGAAAAGCTTAAGAATTATCCAAATAATCACCTATTATTTTCACCTAGTTATTAATACGTAGATACGAAGTAACTTTGTTCTGACAAATGCAAACACCTCCTGTGATGCAATGACCAAGGATAAGAATTAAAGCAGTCAACATATCTATGTATTTTGCTCTTATTTGATTTTACACGTCTCCCGTTTGTATAATGGCCTTTCCTCCAACAAACAGATACCCAATTGAGGTCTGCTTTGCATGGTGCAGCACCAAATTGTTGGGCTGTTGGCACTTGGCAATGTCAAACTACAAAAATGCCAAAGGAGTAACAAAAATATGAAGTCAGAATAATTGATTAGAAAAATTGGAAATGTGATTTTCTTTTCAAGATCCTCTTATTTGATTCGAACCGATGATAAGTGAACATGCTAGGCAGTTGAAAATGAAAGATACCTGATATTATTTCGAAGGGGTAGACAAGTAAAATGAAGTGCTACTAAATGAAGTAGAATTGCCAAATAATTGTAAGCTAAAAATGAAAGGATAGAAACTAACTTGATGCAAGAATATAAAGGAGTAGAATGATAGAAATGGAATTGAGGATATCTTCATTATTTGGTTAATCGCCTGTATATGCTTAGCCTAGTTGATGGTGTTAATAATTGTCTACTTCTTGCCTCTCATGTATAAGTACTTCCTCCATCTCTATTTACTTGACTAACATTTCTGAAAAATCAAGTTTTATAGAAATCAGCTTTAAAATTCCTGAAAAAATGTCATCTATATAGGACGGGATAGAGGATATAGAAGGGAGGGGTGGAAGGGGAAAAAAAAAATGAGGCAAATGGTGGAAATGTGGCATTAATTCCTTAGAGAAGGAAACATCCTATTCACTTTTAGAATCATAATCTAAATCCCAGAAGAAGTATTTCGGTGATTCACTATATCACTCTACTGTATGGCTATTATGTTTCCTTAAGCTTTGACTAGGACTTTCAAAAAGATTCTTATAAGGCATTTAGCAACTAATAAATGTTTTTACCTGTCTGCTAATGGGAGTGTACATCCAATAGCTTCATGAGGCTGTGTTACAGTAGTTTATTCATGATGCACTTGTTCTCCATTTCAAAATTTGTCTTGATAATATATGAAAGGGAGTGAGGGACTACTACGTTAATCTAAGAGGCTGGAGTGAAATTGTGCCTGGTCTGATTTAAAATCATTTGCATTTGTTTATATGAAGCAGCTGCAAATCATATAGCACTCGTACACTTGAAAGTTGTTTACATAGAATTGGTAGAAATGAAGAATGGTGAATTGGTGACTTTTTTATGTTTAAAGAGAATGCGGAGAGATGAAGTTTAAAGAGAATGAGAATGAGAGGAGAGATAAGAGTTAGGGAGAATGAGTGGAGAAATGGAGTGAGTGATTTAATT